GGCATCTCAGTTACAAGATGTAAAGCAGTGAAAGAAACTGAGCTCATTTTATTTAAATATGGATTTATTTAAATAAGAGATTAACTCTGATGCAAACCAGCAGTTTGGAAGTGCTATGTGCTTTCCATTCACACAGATCATAGCAGATGAGTTCAAGACAGTTATTAACTATTAGCCTAATTAATGTTTTATATGTCTGTAGGACGCTGCTATGGTTGGAGAGAGAACTACCACACACTTCCTAAACATACCTTATATCCTCACCAGATAAAAAACGTGGTGGCCCAGCCTTTCTGGTGGCATCGGCTATATTGGAAGCATTCAAGGTCAGGTTGAACAGGGCTTTCAACAACCTGATCTAGTAAAAGATGTCCCTGCCCATGGCAGGGAGGTTGGACTACGTGATCTTTAAAGGTCCCTTCCAACCCTGTGATATCTCACTCTGGACAAGTGGGAGCAGCAGTTCCCAATTCCACCTCTCCAGATATGCAGAAATGTGTCACACAACATATTTGCATCCTATCAGGTATAGGATACACAGTAGTGGCAGCTTCTCAGAGCACCACAAACCAGTGGATTGGAGGAATAGTTTCTTTGAAATTCTTTCCTAACACTGGCTGGATTATTCCTGCAGTACTACCCTGATGCATTATACAGCACTGTCTGTCCCGGCTTTAGTCTGGTACTGATCACGCTGTTCTTTCGCTTCTAATCAAGGAAAGGTGAGGAAGCAGAATGAAACACTATAAAGAAACACATAGCAGGGCAGGAACAAGGGCATAAAGTGGTACTAATATCTTTATAACAGGTATGTAACTTTGAAACTGTAGGAAAAGATGACGTAGACAAAGCTAGAGAGGGACCAAAGATAAGGGGAAAGCTCCCTAATTTTGCTTAAAACAAATGTGTCTTACAAATCCAAATATAAAAATAACAGATGCCAAAATCCTTGCTCTCAGGCATTTGCCACTCTAACTCAAATGCTGGTGTGCATTTTTGGGGATTCAAATATATCTGTTATTTTTGACTCACCTAGTCATTTTATTTTGCATGAGGAATGGGCCTTTTCAAAGGAAGTTTGCTCCAAAAAAGAACTTGGGAACAGCTCTTTGAATAACAGCAGAAATATAAAATATTATTTCTAGAAGCTAAGTTACAAAATCTGGGAAAATGTTTTTTTTTTTAACAAAATGTTGATACAACTGGGCTTTAATGCTGAAATCCTTACAAAGGATGCAGATTTATTACAAAGACCCGTATTTGCCATCTTTACCCATGTTAGTGTACCTAATTTGTTTGTTTGTTTGTTTCAAATAGCTCTACAGAGACAATGGAGTTCGACAGAAAGACTGAGATTAATTTGGGCCCAACAGAACTTCCCAGAAGTAGAAAGGTCTTGCCATCTCTTGATGTTTTCAGGAGGATCCCAAAAGAACTGATAGGTTGCTTCTAGCCCAGATTTCAAAACTTACAGAAAAAGAGAAGGGAGGCTCACAGAGAACAAGATGAATAAGAAAAATATTTTAAATGGAAAGCTGCAAAACTGCATTTCAACTAAACTGATAAAGTAACTGCAGTTATTGATAATGAGGGGCATGCTGTGCTGAATATGCTGTACCGCTGACTGCAGACTACCATTCATATTAATTTAGAAAACACATTTCATCCTGCACATAATGAATGATCCTTCTGTGTATGAAGCTTTATCAGGAACTGTTTGAAGCTGACTGAATAGCATGGGGGACTTGTAGATTTACTAAACATTTCTGCTGATATGGACAGATCAGCCAGGAGTATGTTCAAGGGTCCTCCCTAGCTGACCCAACAGAAGCATCTACTCGAGATGTAGTTGAACAGGCAAAATTGTGCTACTGTACTCAGTTCAGTTGCTTCTGTTATGGAAAGTTATTACACAAAACATGCCTTTGCTAGCATGACTGCATCCACGTAGTAGTATGTTTGTATTACAACATGTCATAGGATTTCCTATGTCATCAGGCAGGTCCCACTTAGGATTCAGTCTTCCCCCACTACTGGTGAATATTATTACATCAGCCTGATTGTCTGTAATCATGTTCTATCAATGCAAAACTGGAATAAGACAATGAAGAATCAGGTCCTGTATTTTACTGAAACGCTAGTTTAAAGCATCTTAGGATAATGCTTCATTGGAATCATATAAAATATGTATTTTCCTTCTACGACATTGCAAACCCCAAGGAAAGCTTTTGTTTCCAGTCTTTTCTTCCACCTTTTCCACTCAGGAGCATGCTGGTGACCCCATGTTTTTGCTCTGTCAGTATTTCAATAGTGTGCACATTATTTCATTCTAAATACTGCCTAAAAATGCAGTTAAGCACATTACTCTGAAAGATCTTACTGAATAAAAGAAGTTATTTGCATAATAAGGTATTCTTACAATTAATAAAGATGAAAATCACACTGAGAGTGAATCCTTGCAATTTTACACAAAGTATTCGACATTTCTGGCTGTGTACTGAAAAACATGGAGCACTCCCTTGCCTCCAATGAAACCTCCCATCTATTTGTGTCCTTTGTTAACTCCCAGCATATGGTGTTTTAAAAGAGATAGCTAAAAACAATGGGCTAAGTAGTTATTCCTTCAATAAGAAATCCACATCTTAAGCATAGCCATGAGGGAAACAGATCTACACAGTTTAAAATCCAACTAGAATAGCTTGTTAAAGAGTTTTAACCATAAAACGCTTTAAGTTAAGAAAAAAAAAAAAAGGCAGCTGGAAGATGTTAACTTGGTTTCTAATTGAAACAATGGTGTGTTTTATTTCATGTTGGGATTTCAACAGACTTCTAATTAGACTTTTTACCATGCAGTTTTCATTTGAAAATATCTTGATGACATTCTGGTCATCAAGAAGATCCTGGGAGACTTGACACCTGTTACTCCTTGGAAGAACATTCATCCAAAAAGGCAGGCAGGCAAACAATACTCCCCAACTCACAGAACAAATATTAAGTCAAAATATCCACAGTATTTAAAAGAATAATGAAGGAGAAAAGAAGTCTGGAAAATACTTTGTGCGGTCCAGACTTAGTGATGATAAGCAGATAGCAATGCTCAAAACAAAAGCCAAAAACACATGGGCTGCCTGCTATGTTGTGGAATACTAACAGAATATTTACAATGTGAATGTATAGCTGGTAAAGTCACTACTATGTCATTTCCTAAGGACATGAAAAAATTATGCTTACCTATTTTATGAAAAGCAGCTTAGTTATTGAAAACAGCATTTGGAACACAATTTTCTATATAGTAAGAAATCAGTATACAAGACCAGATGTTATCATGCAGATTGAATCATACAGTCAGATTACATCACTTTATTTTTTGAAACACTGAATAAGGAATTCTCATAAAATGCATTGCTATGATTCAACTTGATGTAACTTCTTAAAGTGGCATAAAATTAGTAAATAGTATTAAAACCTGGAGTGAATTAAAGAAAGAATTCCATGTTATACTGAAGATATCACCTTTAGATTGAACTTCAGATACTAGAATAGAATAGAATAGAGTAGGACAGAATAGGACAGGACAGGACAGAACAGAACACTTCGGTTGGACAGGACCTACAATGATCATCTAGTCCAACTACCTGACCACTTCAGGGCTCACCAAGTTAAATCATGTTATTAAGGGCATTTTCCAAATGCTTCTTACATGGCATTGACAACCTCTCTAGTAAGCCTGTTCCAGTGTTTGACCATCTTCTTGGTAAAGGAACTTTTCCTAATATGAAATCTGAACCTCCCCTGATGCAGCTTTGAACCATTCCCACGCATCCAGTCACTGGATACTAGGGAGAAGATATCAGCACCTCCTTCACTTCCTCTTCTCATACTGATCAAAATAAACTGAGTTTGGCTCCTGGGATTTATTGACATGGACAGCATTAATTTTCAGCGCTGATTTTTAAATAAAAATAAAAAAGGATAAAGGTATAAAATAATAACATGATAAACAGAGCTTGAGATGCATGGCTAAATTAGAAAGAGAAAGGGGAAACTGTTTTGCTACTCTGCAGTAGCTTATTTTCCTGACTTTTGGGAGAAAGGAAAGCCCCCAAATTTTCTGTCTTTTATTAAGAGACAAATTTTGCTCGCTGTGTTATGTATACATAGAAATAAAACCATCAGCTGCGATCTGGTCTGAGTTAGCTCCATCTTTTATGTGAAGAAGGTCCATGAAGACACATTTTTTGATTCTTCTATGTATCTAGGTGAGAGGGGCTTAAACTGTTATTGCCCCTACAGTTTTCTGTCACATTTTAGCTGAAGTTTACTGTCCCAAAAGTGGAATTGTGATATGAACACTCCTAGGCTGTTTCAGTACAAAGTTAGTGGAATCAGTTTAAAGCATCTTAAATCAAATTTGGATGACTTTACACTTATGTGAACAACTTACATAGACACTTTTAGCTTCACAGCTGTGTCAACAGAAACTGCAAGAAATAACTTCTCAACTTCTATAACTAGATGTGAAAGAAATGTCCTGTATATGCCTTCAGTCCCTCTTGGAATGAGGAAGATTAAAAAGGATGTTAGACAGATTGTGCCAACATGACTAGAAGCTCAGTCTCAGGACAAATCAATGACTGTTAATAGGAATTCAAATTAGAGTCATCAGAAAGAAAAAACAAAAACAAACTAAAAATGAGGAGAGCTTAGATGTCTCTGTTCTTGCTTTGGTCACCCTGAAAAGAAAGCAAGCCAATACCGAACCCCCAAACCTATAAGACTTCTGCATTATTTTTCTCACCACCCATAAAATCAGATGCTTTCGAGCCAAATCTCTGGCAAATTTCACAGAGTCCATGTTCTTTATGGTATGGACTATTGTAGAAATATTGCAGCAAAAACTGCCATAGAAAATACAACCTGACCCACAAGCAGATTCAGCCCTGTGAGAGAGCTTGTTGCCCCTGTTGTATCCTATTGTATCTGAAATGTTTTACTCTTACCTAGAGCTGCCCTCTGAATGTGCCTCTGGGTTATTTCTCCTTTCAGATGATCTGTAAAAGACACAAAATGCAAATAGTTAGAATCCAAAATGTCAAAAATCAATGAAGTCATTGCTTATTTCCCACCATTTGAAAACCCCTGTGCTGCTGGCTAATTTAAGGGGATTTTTTTGTGATTCACAGAAAAAGTTTTCTGAGCTCTCTCCTTCTCACTACTGCAAGTAAAGAAGTAGGCACAATTTGGCTCTACATATCCTCAGATTTAACTTTGTCCAGTAAGAAAGACTGAAAATGAAGCTATTTACTGTCAAGCACTTTCACAGGATAATGATCTCCTGCTGCTAGATACAAAAGAAGTCCAAGTGAGGCTAGAAGACATACAGAATTCCAAGTATTTGTTCAAACAGACTTACAGGCGCTAGCAGTGGAAATGAGATATTAGGTCATGCAGTCCACCTCTTTGCCAGTGAAGAATTGGTTCCCTACAGTCCCTTTTTTCCTGTTTGTCCATCTCCGTTTTAAATATCCCACATGCTAAAGCTTCTGCAAGTTCTACTGCTCAACAGAACTCACTGTGTAGATGCCATTGGTCTTTGATTGAAATTTTTCTTTAATTTCATTATCTCCTTATTCCTAGTTAGGCTCCCACGTTCCATATAATTCACCTTTACCCTTCTTCTATTAATTTCCTCCTTGACCTATGACACTGTTGCAGTTCACCAATTATTTCAAACAATAATTAGATTACCACATGGGAAGCCATTATTCATAGATATTAATGGAACCAATAAAGGAAATACATAACCCTAAATGTGCAATTTCAGCAGTATGTGTGTTCTGAGGGAGGATGGGATTATGTCTTTCAAGTTTGCAAATTAAAACAATTTTGAAGCAGAGACTTGTTCATAATCTTTACTAAGCTATACATCTGGATACCAGGGAAAGAAAAAAAAAAAATCCATGATTCACTTTTTTTCCCCAGACCTGTGATTATGTATATTATATTAGCATGAATTATGAATGAAAAATACCCTTTTGCTTATAAATTGAAGACTTATAGAGTAAGCTAATCAGAGCAAATTAAGTCATTAAAAGCTGCCACATGCTTAACTGGAGGATGTGAAAAACCATTTATATTCACAGGTCACGAGAATTAGACTGTTCTATGAGCACCAAAGAACCATGAAAAATTAAGCTGCTTTGGGAATTATGAGAATAATTCTTAAGTGTTTAGTAGCATTGTGAAATAGGTATTATATGCAACACACTGCAGTATAGCAGCCAAGTTATGTTGTTTTGAATGTTTTTAGAAACCAAACCAAACCAAACCAAAAAACCCTACCTACTCCTTGTCCATTAAACAGATATTGCAGATTCGTATTTTTCTGCACAGGAAGTTTTATTCTTTTCAATTATTTCTATTTAAACCAATGAATTCTTCTGTACTTAAAGTTATCTGTAAAGTTGAGAAAAGCCTTCAGCTACCGAGAAACAGGTTAGCTGAAAGAACTAACCTCACCTACCCCAGCTATACCAAATAATTCCTCCACCTCAGCTGTACTAACACTCAACCAAAAAATCATTCAGTTAAGCAAGCTCCTGATTTCTGTAACTAGAGACAAAACCCCCTCAATTAATAATTTTTAGAATAAATGCCCAGTTAAACGATCAACACTCATGCTATTTGTGCTTTGAAATCTTTATATAGCAACTCAGTCGATGTCAATACTCAGTGAAATGTGATTAAACGTACCAGTTTTTTCCTCAAATTGCTTTTTGCTATTCTGGATATTTATATCCTTGTATTCTATCATACTGTGTTGCACAGGGTGATGCTACTCACTCAATATTGAGCCATGAGACAGTTATGAAAATTTGTAGTAATTGTGAGATTCATCTCAGGGGATTACCATTAAATTAGGTGCTTCAGAAAGCCATCTATACATGTATCTTCACGTAAGGGCTCAGAAACTCCCTTCTTTAAGCACTGTGAGCTGCAAAAGGCAATGCCACTGTCATTTGAAAAAGTGGTTCTAGTAGTGAGAATATGCTGATCATCAAGAATCAACTGAAAATGAAGGTGACATACAAGATCTCTATCCTGTCAATACATGTTTTTAGTAGTGTTATTTCTCTTTTTTAACCTTGCTAGAAACAGATCATCAGCAATCAAAGATGTTTTGCATAAATTTCTATCAAGTGGCAATGAGGTCAACAGAAAAACAGCAAGCCAAACAAGTCAATGAAAGTAAGATCGAACAGATAGATAACAGCTTGCAGTCAATACAAATATGTGGAAATGGAAAAATATGCAGACTGGTTTTTAAATGATTATAGCCAAGAGGCTTGACTTCCAATTACCTAGAATTTACTCTCAGTACAGCTGAGGCAGAGAGCACAGAGGCTGCAGAAGCCCTACTTTTATTGCAAGCTTTGTTAGGCCAGCCAGCAGTGTGGAACTGTCCCAAATGCTCCCTTCATTCTAGCATTTGTACACTTCTGCTCCATCCATGAAATAGACCATGATGTTGTAAGAAACCTCGTCCTTCTTCTATTTGGCAGCTTTACGAAAGAATGAGCAGTTGGAACCAGACCACCTGTAATCAGGGGGGAACCAAAGAAAACTTCTTCTGCTAGAAAAATAAAAATCCAGTCTTACCATTCTTATAGTGAAAGACTTTTCTTTTTCGTCTATGAATAGAAATAGAAAGGTGACATTTATCCAATTCACATAGTCCAAACTGCCTTTTCAGTGCAGCAAAAACTGAACTTCATTTGGCAGAAAACTTCCTGAGGAGAAATTGTAATTGTATTACGGGAAAAGTAGCCCAAACAGGAATTCTGGTTCAGAGGACACGAAGGTATCATGAGGCACTTGGCTATAATTACATACCAAGACTTAGCCAGATATGATTTAATCTTTCAATTTGTTTTAATCCAATTTGAAATCTGACAGTTTACTTAGATTTCCTTTGGAAAAAAAAAAATGGTTTTCATGTAGAAACTCTTATTTTTGACAAAACTTTAACATTTTCTGTACATGTTTTTGATTAAAGTAATCTTGTTCTGTTTTCACTACAAATACTTGTGGGGCAGAATGAATGCTTCTGACCTGCTCTACTTTTTTGCCTCTGAGAACACCATCACCCCAATGCAAGGCTTGAAGTTCATAAGTGACAGAGGTAGGGGTTGATTTCAGTACTGTTGTCTGTGCAGACCTTCCCATATAAACAAGTGGAAGATTTCAGTCTTTAGTACTGCCAGTTCTACAACCTTCATAAACACAAATATTTACCCAAAGAAATATGAAGAATCACATTCTCATAAAAAAACCCCCATGTCTTCTGATTCCAACAGTGTAAAGTTGTAGACAAGGTAGTGCTTAAATGTGGTTTGCAAAAATTGAATTTAAAACTTGGCAAACATCTCTCAACATATGGCTAATTATGTTTTCTGAAGTTTCACCAAACAAGAAGCTAAAAATAGGTCTGCAGCTGATACCAAATAATTTTTTCCAGTGGAGTCATTCTTCATTTGGAGATAACAGTCCCAATAAAATGTTGAATGCTGCAACTCCACATGTTTTGGCAAAAAAGTAGTTTTGGGGAATTTAAGAATTCACTCAGCATGCAGCCAGCTGTCATTAAGGCTGTGATAAATCTGTTGGTTTTGGCCTGTGTTTCTGGACACATGTACCATCCTGAGGTATGGAATAGAGATGAACTGGTAACACAGAACTTCGGCTTTGTGACAGGAGACAAAAGCAAGGAGGGAAATGGAGAAGACAAAATGGAATAGAGAAGTCTAATTAAGACTGATGTAAAGCAGAGAAAAGTATCCTATATGCTGACTAAATATGACAGAATCCATAACTTGAACAGTACGGCTGTCCTTTTTGTCTTCGTGTTCTTCCAGACTGTTTCAAGGAGCTGAAATTATTTTCCAATTTATTACAGACAGAATTTGACAATACTGCATATGCTTCAGGGCAATACAAAAAATTAGTATGTTACAATTAAAAAAATATTGATTTAAAAAAGTGTTTTCATTTTGTTTCAGTCCACTTCACAGGTTTTAAAGCTTCCCTTATGTTTTATCAGACCTTCCATATAATACTACTGTAAGATTTCAAAGACTGCTAACTTAAAGGATAAAAATACTGGACAAGCTAACAGTATACATACAACCTTAACTCCCTCCCTTTGAAAACAGTTGTTGTTACTGATGTGGATATACCTTTAACTTGATGCAGGGTCTCTTCTGACTTAATAATTGACAGGCTGGAGCCTTCACCAATAACCTCTCATCTCTTGTTATTTTTTAATACTTTGCTCTTATTTTACTTTTTCCAAGCCTGTGTTTAGCTTAAGAAGTCATTCCAGTCAGGAGATCCTGAAACCTTCACACCTCAACTAGGATGCTGTATCTCCTTCTTTCTCCATCTTTAAATAATTTTTGGTGTTACATAAAATATCTAGCAGAACATCCTCTTATGCATCCAGGGAACCTCCAATTCCTGGAACTCACCCTCCAGGGCATTTTGGGTCCCTAATAATGCTATATGGTCTAAGTGTTATATCTATCTATTTTTTTCTATTTCTCATGCTGCCCCACCAGCAAGTAGGCTGGGGGTGCACAAGAAATTGGGAGGGGACACAGCTGGGACAGCTGACCCTGACTGACCAAAGGGATATCCCATACCATACGATGTTATGCTTAGCAAAAAAAGCTGGGGGAAAGAAGAAGGAAGGAGGGACGTTTGGAGTGATGGTATTTGTCTTCCCAAGTCACTGTTAGGTGTGATGGAGCCCTGCTTTCCTGGGCATGGGTGAACACCTGGCTGCTGATGGGAAGGAGTGAAGGAATTCCTTGTTTTGCTTTGCTTGTGTGCGCAGCTTTTGCTTTACCTATTAAACTGTCTTTATCTCAACGCACGAGTTTTCTCACTCTTATCCTTCCAATTCCGTCCCTCATCCCACTGGGGGGGAGTGATTGAGTGGCTGTGTGGTGCTCAGTTGCCAGCTGGGGTTAAACCATGAACAGGAAATATG